CCATATAAATCATATCTTTATTTTTTAATAATGTGGAGCGAAAAAAAAAAAAAAAATTTAAAAAAAAAAAAAAAAAAATTGAACCATTTCCTGAAGCCAAATTCAAGACAGTCCTTGCGACACTCTGCAGGAAGGATCTTTTTGCAGCTTGGTCTCTCCAAGAGCAGCAGGGAAGGGCTTGGCAGAGGTACAAAGCCCATTCTTCTCACGCCCTCCCAGCCAGCATGGCAAACCCGGGGCTCAGGGGCTGCTCCCTTTCACACCCTCTCCCCGAGGCAAAGCCCTTGGAGGCCAAACCCCTCCCTTTCATTAAAAGATTTTGTTATCATCCCACAAATTACCATCCTTCAGCCCCCTCCCTGACAGGGTTGCTCCCAAGAAGCCCCAAGTATCAGTGGTGTTTCAGGTCACCATAATTTGTTCAGAAAAAGAGAGAAATTCCTGTTTCCAGACAAGTGATGGCTTGGGAAGGGCTGGTAACACCTGTGGAGCTCAGCCTGCAGGTCCAGAGCAGGTGGTTGGACCACGGTGTCTTCTGGGCAGCCAGAAGTGCTAAACATTGTCCTGATTGAAATCAAAGAATTAAAATCCCCGTTGAGTTCAGTGGAAGAGGAAGGTGGCCAACTTTGGGTTTAATGTTTTATGTATTAACGTTGAAATCTTGATGGGAAAGAACCGAAACCTTGCAGTGAACACCTCCAAACCTTGGAATCTTGTCTTAAAGATTCCAATTATAGCAAGAAGAAAACACTGGCGTTTCAGTTTCACATTCTGGCGCTTGATCAAATGGACATACCACAGTCTGTAAATAGACCCAAAAACTGAAAAATCCTTCCAATTAAATTCCTTCGTTGCCTCAGAACTCTGACTCACCTGTGGACAATCAATGGAATTAACATAACAGATAATTATAACTTGGTGATAGGCAAGCTTCAGATTAATTATTCCATTTAGAAAAACACTCAAAATTTATTTTTTTCTTATTTCTTTCTGAGATGAAAATCCTACAAGAACAGGTTTTCTCCCCTCTAGTACAGAACAAAAATAGTCCATGGAAACAGCCTCATCTCACAGTATTTCTGGTTTTGGGGCCCTATAATAATCATTAAGTGTGAAAATATAACAAAATACTATGTAAAGTAGCAAATATAATTTAAAACTCCTAAAAGTTTTCCCTGAACTGCAATTAAATTTTCTGGTCAACCCCAGTTTTATCCCATCTGACTGCTCATAATCTCATCCCATCTCTAACTCTTTTCATCAGCAATGAAAGTTTGGATTTAAAGTTCAATTTCCAAATGGATTTCTTGGACAGGATGGGAGAAGATGGATGTAATTTTCAGGAATTTCAGGTTCTAACTGCCTGGAGCTGTTCCGAGTGCAATGCCGAGCCACTACCAAAGGAAGGGAAAAGCTGTACAAGGCAGTGGCAGCTGCTCTGACTGCAACCAGATTTCACCCACATGAGGGCAATGCCTCTTTTGTCTTTCTCATCTCTGAACTCAACCCCTGACATGGCTTTAAGCTGAAAAGTATCTTAAAAATCAAAAATTTCACCAAAATTTGCTGAAGACTCGGTGTTTTACAGACAAAGCGTTGCTATATATTATCAGTGAGACAAGTTTATGCTTCATTTTGGATATAATCAGAAAGGTTTTATCCCTAGACACTGCTTTGCACATGTTCAATCTTTATCAAAACCTCACAGTTTGACACTTGTGTCCAAAAGTCCCCAGATCAGTTGCACCACTCTGACCCATTGTCCAAGGCCAGCTAAACTGGAGGCTGAGCCAAGGGACACGTTATCCAAAGGAAAACAGCAATAGCTGAAATATATCTGAGGCACCAACAGGATGTGAACCCTTCACAACATCTTCCTTTGCTGAAAACCACTCAGCCCAGCACAATAAAAATATTGGGCTGTGCTGCCACCTGCACCACGAGCACCTCCCAAGGCTGCTTGGCTGGAGGCATTGGATGGTTTTCCACTCTTGGCCTGGCCTCTGGTGTGAAATATTCCCACAGCTGGATGTGAACAAAGAGTGAGGCATCCCAGTGACTGGACAAGAGGCTCGAGCCAAGCCCAGGCCTGGGTGGAAGCCTGTTCCATGACCAGTTGCTCCACACCTGGCTCGGTGCTTGGGGATGTCCTCCGTGGAGCCATGAGGTTTTTATGGGCACTCCATCTATCATTGCATCCAGGGGAAAAAAAAACAAAAAACCAAAAAAAAAAAGAAAAAAAGAACAGCAAAAAGAATAAAACAAAGATTTTTATGGACCTAGGAGGAGCTAACCTGGAAATATCACTGGCACAAATAGAGCTGTTGAGCAGACAATAGCACTGGGGTATTGCCATGGGTTTGTTTACCCAAACGTGGCCATCCTCGCTGTGAGGTCCCCACCCTGCTGCTCCCCAGCCTGGGGAGCTGGTGGAACACAAGCTGTGATTGCCATGCTGACAGCTTTATTGCCTCCCTGACCTTGCTATTTTTAAGGGAACAGGTTATCTCTGTGATGTAATCAGGTCTTCCTCGTGCTGTGAGGTCATTCCCACTGCAGGGAGCTGGAGCCTTTGGTCCTCACTCGCCTTTGGAATGCCAAGTCAGCTGTTCCAGGTGTCCAGGAGCTTATGGCACTGGTTGGACTGAAAGCTACTGAGGCTGATTCTCTTTTCCCAAATCACTCAGGAAATATGGCTTTGGTTCCCTTCTTCAAACCTAGTTTATCTAAATTGATAAAGAGAATTTAAATATCCAAATTTTGAGACATGAAGCTTAAAAGAGCATCAGTGAGATTAATTAAATGTGTGTTTGTGTTAGGAGTGGGAAAGTGCAAGTGCAAGTTATAGTTCACAAGTGATTCTCTGGAATGAGTGCAATAAGTAAATAAATGATAAAAAATGTTGTTGCGCTTCCATTTTGAAGGTTCTTATTGCAAAACAAGTGAACAGAACAGCCAGACCTTCACTTAGGGAAAATAAAATTTCCCAGTGGGCTGAGTTCTACAGGGTTATTAAAGGCTTTATGTCAAGATTATTTCTCTGGAGAAGACACAGCCATTATTTCAGCAAATGCTAAAAACTTGGGTCAAATTAGAAAAGCATTTACTGATTTAGTAACTACTTATCCAACATTATCTCTATGTAAACTATTTACCCAGAATGATATGACTTAAAAGCTCTCTCCTATTCTAAAATTCCTATCTCCTGTCCTAATTCCATGAGACACCAACCTCAAAGGTTGGATGAGCTCTGTTAGGAAGCATTTTTCCAGCTCCCATGGGAATAAAACACCTTTTCCAGTCTCAGCTGGAAAGAGGAAATGAAAAAAAAAAAATTAAAAATCAAATCCTGTTTGAGCTCATGCAGTCCAAACACAGCCAAAGGTGTCTAAGGTGCTCCAAAGAATTTCCCCAGCCCCTATTCTTGTTGATCCCAGTGTCAAGATGGTTGTGGAACCCAACCACAAAACTGCCTGGAAGGTTTCCTTGGCTTCTGTCAGCCTGCAAACCTCAAACCTTGAGGGATGCATTAAAGGAAATGGTGGCCCTCTCCTCCACAGCTCCTAGGGAATGGGAAAATGGTCTTATGGGCCATTAAATCCCTCCATTCCTTCAGAGGTGGTGTTATGGGCACATCTGAGACCTCCAGGGAGCAGCCAGTGGGTGTAACCTGCACAGGGACACAGTTCCCATAACGTCACAGCAAGAAGAGGTGAGCTGGAGCAAAAATAAATTCACTTTCTCACCAAACACCCTCCTATTTTTCCGAGTCCAGATAAGCAAATTAAAAATGATGTCATGGCTCCCCCAGGACACTGCAACATGCTGCCATTTGTCCAGCCAGAGTACAACTCCTATTAGTGTGATATAACCCAGTAGTTGGGAACTCAATAGGAAAAACAGAGCTGGAATTTAATAAAAAAAACCTCTACAGCTTTTAACTCATTGCCCTTAACACACAGAGCTACTGTAAGTGAGTGCCTCAACATGAACACTCTGAAGACCAAAGAATTAAAGTAAATGCAATCAGCAGATTACTAAATACCAATGGGAAATTTAGAGCTATAGAGCAAAATCCCAGAGCATTAAAGGATTTACTGCTTGGCATTGATGAGAAGCAAATCTTTGGATTTCCATTTCTATCCTTAATTAGCAACTGAGGTTTATTTTAGTCTAAACTAAGTCACAAAAGATAACACACCCTAAAAGAAAATAGATAGCAGTGCAATAAACTTCATAAAACGTCTTATTAAAAATTAGAAGAAACAATAACAGATTCAAATGGAAAATCAATTTCCAGGACTTCCATTTCCTTTTGTTTTCTTGTCTTCCCACCCATGCTCAGCTGTTTTCTAATAACATTCAGCTCTTTGCTAGCGAGGTTACCAAGGGTGGTAACAAAGACAGCATTTGAAACTCAAAAAGGGAGGCTCCCTTTTAGAAGGGACATTTTGGGAGTGTTCTTGCTCCTTCACAGCTTGGGGTTTGAAAGTTTGCTGTCTCCCTGCCCAGTTCCCACTGGAAGAAGGATCTAAAATGGATGAGCCGTGTTCCACGTGGCCTCAGCTCTGAGCAAATCAGCCGTGTGGAGTTGAGTGATTTTTATGGATTCTCTGGGACTGGGGAAAGACAAGGCTCTTCTGGTCAACGAGGAGACCCCTGGCTGGTTCTTCTCTGATCCCACCTACCATTTGCACCGCTGGTGGTGTGCTCCCAGCAGCTGCTTTGGCAGGCTTTGCTGGAGCATTCCTGGTCTGTTGGAGCACTCCCAGCTGCCAAGATGCACCAGGGATTTGATGTCTGGTCTCCTGACCTGGGATACAGACTCCCACGGCACCATTTCCAGCACAGCTCCTGCCATGGCTTCAAGAAAAGCTGTAAAATATAAGCAGCTGCTTCAGAACAGGAGAAAAGTGGAAGTCTGGGAGTTAAATCTGAAGAAATTCGTAATAACGAGGCCAGTCCCAAACAAACCTCATGATTCAGTGAGAAGGAAGCTGAGGTCCTGCTGTCAGTCACTCCCCATTTTTCTCCCTTCACCAGAGAGCCCAAGAATTCACTTGGTCCACATAAAAATTAACTATGGAGTAATCTGAGTGTGATCCAGACCCAGAGATCCATCTCTCCATGGCATCATGGTCCAGGATTCAAATCAATTCCAGCTCCAGCATCAAACAGCTCATCTAGGCCTGTGAATCACCTAAGGAGAAAACTCCATTAAGTTAAATCAACCCTAAAAGTTGCCAAGTTGGTATCTAGCACTCAAAAATTATTGGATGGCTTAAGTATTATTTATTTTTTAAAAAATTGACTTTGAATTATTTTTATTTATCTTGTAATTAGCAGTCCATTGGGTTGACAACTGGACACTTGTTGGACATTGACAAAGTTTTCATTGTGTGCTAAAATAATTAGTTATGCATCTGAAAATGCATAAAATTGCAGGACCTGGGTTCTTAAAATAAATTATTGAAAAAAAAAGTTTTCATTAATAAGAAATAAAAGGGAAAAAAATTCAAGACCATAACCACAACCAAAGTAGGCAAAACTTCACAACCCTTTTAATTAATTACTTAACAAGTGGTGATACTTCAATCTATGGTCATTCATTACACCCTGATTCTCAAGGTGAATCCTGAATGGACACAATTTGGAGCTCTGATGGATATCTGCCCATGCCAGCCAGCAGCCTCCTTTATCTCAGAGCCTGAGCAGAGGCTTTAATGTATTTTGGGTTTGTGACACCTCTGCTATCTCTGCCAGGAGGGACAGGGACAACGGGAATGTGATGGACGAGCACCATGGCAGAGCCAGGAGCTGGGGCTGTGAGGGTGCCCTGCATTAGCTCAGCCAGAAGAGACAAAGCAACTCCCTCCCTTGTTTTTTTAATTTGTTAAAATAACAGCTCCATATTCCCAGGGGCAAATGTCAGGAATAATTGCATGCAAATTGCACTGGAGTCACGCTGAGGCACCCAGTGCCACCCAAGGGCTCCTGAAGGGTTAAAATCGAGGAGTTCAGCTAATTTACAACTGGAGACCTTTATCGTCTCCCGGTGACTTTGAGGGCTCACATTTCGCACTTAATTACTTGTTCAGCAATCAGGCCCGCGAGAGATGGATGCGTTCTGTGTTTAGCCCTCGCAGCTGTGAATTGTTTATTTACTTATCGTCAGGCCGGGAATGGCTGCAATTTAAAGGTTCAGATCTCTGCTACCCTAAGCGGGGAAGGTCTTCCTTTAAACACTTCCATATTCCGCGGTGGAATTCCGCTGGAGATGCCCATCTTCTCCTCCCGTTCCGGGTAACGGGGCCAGCAGGTGTTCCTGGTTAGTGGCCACTGGGGTTATTCACGCCAAGCAGCCGCTGCCAAGTTCACAATCGGGACGAGGGATCTGCGGAGATAAATTCGGGAAGGTGAAAAGCGGGCCAGGGAGATGAGGAGAGATGAATTCCAGCGGCCCGGCTTCCGTGGAATGGCTCGATCCCTATCTGGGACAGCTTCAAACGGTGGCTGCCAGCAATTCCTAGGCCAAATGGTGTAATTACAATTTCAGCTGTCAAATGGTGACCAGATGGCTTTATCTTTCACACCAGAGGCCTAAGAAGTTGGTTAGGTGTGACCTCTCCACATACCAATCCACCTGCAGAGCACGAGGCCTGCGAGTGCCGGAATTCCCGGCCTTCCCAACGCGTGCATCCTCCTCTTTGATAACTTTGGAGCAAAGCTGTGTAAAACCAACAGCATCAGTTTTCACAGGGTCGCATCACCCTCCAGCGCAGCACCACCAGCAATGCTGTGGGAGCACTCGTGGGGCTGGAATTAAATGATCCTTAAGGTCCTTCCCAACCCAAACTCTGAATTTCAGCTACATGAGGGTTACTGGGTGACAAAGAAAGGGGGGACGACCCCTGTTATTCTCTTGGGGAATACACAGACTTCCCATCTACTCAGGAAAGAAAGAGTTGTGCAGGGGAAGAAAATCTCAGTTCCATAGTTGGCCGGAAAAGGATGTTTCAGAAGGAAAATTGGTGACATTCCCTGCCGAGAGGGAAAAGCCAAATGGTCTGAGCATCCAGGCATCGCTGCCATCCTTGTGATGGAGGGGAGGATGGTGGTGGAAGCAGGCTGGACACACCCCCTAAAAACCCCAGTGTAGCTCCAGGAGAGGGGCTCTAGGCAAAGCCCAGCCCAAATTCCCAGCAGCAGCAGCTCGGGAGGTCAGGGGCTTGCTGGGGAATGTCCCATGACCCGTTCCACTGCCACAGGCAGCTCTCTCCAGCCTCCAGGAAAGCGCAGGCTGTTCCCACACGGAAAGCACGGAGCTCTGCAGCAGGTCTCAGATTAGAGCAGTATTAAAAGTAAGGACTTTGGGGTCGGTATTAACCCCAGAGAATTCTGCCTGTGGGCAGGTGGAGGGGCTGACAGACATCAACAGCAGCAGCAGAGTTTCTGCCTCCAGGCTCTTGCAGCAGCCAACTGCTTTTGATTTAAAGAAAAGGCTTTCCTGTCCTGTGCTCTTATGAGAAACACACTTTTCTCCCAGTCCCAAGGTTATTTCTATCCCACAGATGAGGAGAAGGGGATGCAAGCTGACAGGGAACATGGCAAGGAAGTCTAAAGCACAGAGGTGCTGCTTCCTAATATTTTTTTGTATTATCATCACTACTGCTGTGGGAACAAATCACCAATCTCTGCAAGTGATCATTAAAGTTGTTTAATAACACTATGTAAAAAAAATATAGATCAGAACTTTCTAGTCTTGAAGAATTATAAGAGATATTGTTAGACGTACACAAAGAAATAAAAACGCAGATAATTCCAGGATGATTTGGATTTTCTCAGAAACAGTTCTACAATCATCTGTGTCACTTCAGTAAAGCCAAAGAAAGAAGAAAAGAGCCTCCACAGGCATAATTGAATTAGACAAAATCCTGGAATTTGATGAGAGATAAAGTTACCTCTAATTCTCTTAAAAAAAAAAAAAAAAAAAAAAAAAACAAAAAAAAAAAGGAGGTGAAATTAAAATGTCAAAAGAGCAGTGAGCTGCTAAATTGAACCTTCAGTTTTGGGTGCATTCACGGTTGTGTTGGCAGTGCATCCATGGAGGCACTGAAGTAAAAACACCAAAAATGAAAAAAAACCCACCCCAAATGCAACTTTGAAAAGGACTGAAATGAACAGCATGGAAATGCTTCAGGATTTACAAAAGAGAATTGTGAGGCAGAAACAAATACAAGCAAAACCTGGGCCAGTAACAGCCCCATATGTACAAATGTGCTGGGGCTGGGATGAATTCTGTGGGCTGGATTGATGAGAGGGGTACCAAAGACATGGACCCAGCCAGATCCCAGGCTGGCCTTCACCCACTGACACAGAAAATGGGAGAAATATTTGTTTCTTCCAATTTTTTGCTATTTTTCTCCCTTGTTTTAATTTTTTTTTGCTTCTGCTGACGTTGAGTTGACAGCAGCAGTGCGGGGGTTCAGGGCTGCAGCCTCAGCTCAGGGAAGTGGGGATTTTCAGAGGACTATGAAAATTTAACTCAGATGAACCTTGCTCTGATTTAACAGGCATAAAATGACAGAAAGGAACTTCTCAGATTCTCAGGCCAGCAGAGAAATTATTGCAAAAACCAGTGACAGAGAGATTAAAGGCAATGGGTGCAAGGAGCTGTTTCGAAGGTGAGCACAGAGGCAGAGGGGAAAGGATCCCTTGTGCTGGCTCCCCGCTCCTGCTGCCTCGCTCAGCCTTTTCCCACACTTAAAGGGAAGCACAACAGTTCTCTGAGAGCCTGAGGGAACCCAAAGAACAAGGTGGGCTGGGAGGGATGTGCCACGATCCTGCTTGGTACCAGGATGCTGCCCCAGATATAGAGTACAGAGAGGGAGGGGGGCCCCCACAGTGATGTGACTCCCGTATTATTTTTGTCCCAAATACACAAAACGCTGGCTATAGCAATCAGCTAGGAATAATAGCAGTCCCAAATGCCTTTTTTTAACCCAGGAATTTGCAGCAGAGCAGTGGAGAGGTGCACTTCTGCCAGTGATGTTGATACTTTTGCAGTGCTGGAACCTGGGGGCAAAGAAAATCCCATTTTGTGACTGTTGCTCATCACCCCCCCAACATTTCAAAGAGATTTTATCTGTCTGGCATGGAAGATTTCCCAAACTGTTTTTATTAGGAGGACTTTTGTATGCCAGCAATGAATATTACTCTATTACTGAAAGGAATCAAAAGCTAAAGTGCCTGCGTGTACAGTTAATCTATCCAAACAGAAAATGTTTCTTAAAAAATTACGGCACTATTTTTATAACAAACCTCAGCCAAACTCAAAACTGAATAAATGGAATGTGTTCTTTTAAAACCAATTTATTTTTTTTAATCATGGGCAAGAAATCCTTTCCTTGCTTTCATTCATCAGGTAATGCTTCACCCCCCCCATATTCGTGTGAAGACATTTGCCTGTGACGGGATTTTTGCTTTGGAGGCATCGGATTGAAACATTCCCAAGGCTGGAAGGTGGATGTGAGCCTGGGATGGCATCACAGCCAGCCTGTGGTTTCTATCTCTTTTTAACAAAACCATGAATAAGGCAAGAAAATGCCTCAAAGGGGCCAGGAGTGATGGGGAAGAGCCACCCTAAAGCCCTGAGCCACCTAAGTAAAGCATCAGGTCAGAGCCCTAGGAATTTCTATAGGATTATCCAAGGGAATCTATTCCTGCTGAAACGTTCTGAGGTAAAAAACACAGAGCCACTGTCTTTATGCTATTTAAAACTGGCCTGCACACTCATTACCACAACGTAATTATCATCAGGGTTCCTTAAAGCAGAGTTTGGCCCTTCCCAGTTTATACTGCCGAATTATTATTACGGTTTTACTTTAACTAGAAGCCCGTGCAGAACTCTCCCTGCAGTTTTTTCAGTATTTATTTAGACTTGCACCACTGCCCAAGACCACAATTTGAATGTCCCGAGCCTCATCCCACGATCTCTTACTCCCCAAAATGCTGCGCATTTTTGATGCCGTCACGAAGAGGAGTCGAAGCAAACAATTCGCAGCCTGCGAGGACCCTAAAATGTGGTTAAACATTCCTGGAGGAGGCGGTGATGAATAGGCAAGCAGGGTAACCTGACCCCCAGGGCTTCGACATCCCCTTTTTGTTTGTTTGTTTGTTTTTTCTCCTGAGCTTTCCAGGAGTTTCAGCCGCGAGCAAACCCGAGGGCCTTAAAAAAAAAAAAAAAAAAAAAAAAACCAAAAACGTTTTAATTCCTACAACCACGCCGCTCATTTGTGTACGTGGTTTTTAAGAGAATTTTTCTAGTTCTAGAAAAAAAATTAATTTGGATTTCTCCCCTCTGGGTGAAAGAGAAACTCTGTGCGGGTGCTGCGCCACTGGCGAGTGTTTGAGCGCTGCTTTTTCTGCTAAAGGTCAAAAGCAGGTAATGGATGTCGAAATTTCCACACACTGGGGTAAGCTCGGAGCTTGTTGACTTTAATATCAGTTTTCTTCCACCGTGGAGGAAAAAAAAAAAAAAAAGAAAAAGAAAAAAGAAAAGAAAAAAAAACCTCCAGCTCCTCATTGATTTTTCATGGAAATTCAGCAGTTTCTCCTTGTTTAAGATCTGGTCTCTGATTTCTCCTTGATTATCATATTGCTCTGCCCCCCAGATAAAGCCCGGCTTTGTTTCAGCTCGGGATGGTGACATCGTTATTACTGCGCAGGGAACAATCCCGGGGTGCTGGAGGTTGGTGCTGAATCACAGGGGCTACCTGAGGAAAAAACAACACAGCCCTGGGGAAAACCCACCCTGAGAAAAAGGAGAAAGAGCGGGAGAAAAAGTCGGGGAAAGCTGGGAATGGGAATGGGAATGTGCCCCTTCGAGCAGAGGGGAATAACGAGCTCGGCGTGGCAGAATTCAATTCGTCAGAGTTCAATTGGAAATGTGATTTTTGGGAATCCCAGCTCGCCCTGGCGGGGTTGGATTGGGTTCAGCCTCAGCTCTTCTGCTCTCAGCTGAAAACGGAGGCAAGGGTGGGAAAATGGTTTGGATTTCTCCAAGTTTCCATCAAAAATGGATGGAATGAGCCATGGAAATTTATGGTGTGTGTGTCCCAGTTCTGCAAGGGGCAAAAATGACCTTCAAAAACCCAAAATTTTAGTCATTGTTGTTGTTAATTGCTGCAGAACTGGATTGGGTTGTTCCCAATGGGCTCCCAAGAGTTGAATCTTTTTTTTTTTTTTCAGATAAATCAACAAAAATGTTGGTATTCATTGACCCTCTTGAGCTCTTGTGGATATTACAGGGACAGTATTTAAAACTTACATTTGAAAGTATATCTGGGACATGAACATTCATTTTTTTTATTGCTGGAGTCTAGAAAACTAAGCTATTAAAATGATAAATTTTTACTAATTATCATTGAGTCACACTTTGAAATAAAACTATGCACCCACTGTATTTAAAAAAAAATTGAAAACATCAGTTGTCAAAATAAGCAGAATATTCTCTCCCATGGGAGTGGAGGAAGGGTCATTAAAAGAAATTCAACACGTCAGGCTTTGAGCATTTGCTCTGAAAATTAATGCAGGCAAAGAAACGCACAGCAAGGAATGCAAAAATGGGCGAAAGTTGTACTATGAGAAAATTTTGTAGCCTAAAATAAATTTTTTCTAGATAAAAGAAATGCTTTGACATATATTTTGCCATTAGTACACGTGTATATTTAATTATATATATATATATATATATATATATATATATATATATATATATATATATATATATATATCTTCAAGTAACATTTCTGATGCAGCTTGTTAGTCATAATTCTGACAAATAGCACTGTTATTATAATAATAAGGAGGTTTTAAATAATCAGGAGCTTTTTAAGCCATTCAAACACAGTGCCTTGAAATCAAAATCCAGATTTAATTCTTTAGAACGTTTTTTCCAAATGAGGATAAATGTGGAGTCTGCCCTTTAAATTAAATGACAGCAAGAAGTCAGGGGGAAAAAAAAAACCAAAACAAACCAAACAATAGCAAACAGTTTGAGATTGATTCTGCTCATTGTAAATAAGGGGCTGGCTCTAATTTAGTTAATGAGATTTCACCAGTGTAAATTGAATTAGGTTCATTATCCTATCATTAAAACGATCTCTATCATTGCAAAAAAAAAAAAAAAAAAAAAAAAAAAAAAAAAAAAAAAAAAAACAAAAAAAAAAAAAAACCAAAAAAAAACCAAACAAACAAACAAAAAACTTAGCAGTTGAAGGACTTTTTTTTTAAACAAAAACTGCTGGAATGAGATGCAAAAGCAGAACTCACACAAAGTTGCTGCGGGCAGAAAAAATATTTTTATTACTTGATTAATATTGACTTTTATTTTTTCAGAATTTTTAATTCTTTTTACTATTTAAAACTGCATCCGTTATCAATCAGAACAAAACTACTTCGTGCTATACACATTTTAAAAAGGGGTTTTTTCCTTATTTTAATATTTTCTTTGCTCAGCAGACAACACCCTACAAGATGTGTGTAAAATTCCTTTGCCGATGAGAGCAGCAAGGCACGGCTGAATTCTCAGGTGCTTGAGCCTCTAGAAAACAGGAAAGGGCTGTGTATAATCTGCTCTACATTACACATTATTATATATACATTATATAGATCTGCTCTACATTATGCTATATTATATATACATTACATTGTTATGGGTTTTAAGTGTTGTACAACAACCAATTATTTTGATGACGCCTTTAATTGACTACAAAGCTCCGCGAGGGGACGGGAGAGGATCGCTTTCCCCCGATAAAGCGATTAAACCGCCTGTTGATAAAGCAAATTACGCCGCGAGTATCTAACAAGTGCTGAAAAGATAAATACGCTCCCAGAGAAGGCAGAGGCAGCTCTCCCTGTCCCAGCACCAAACTTCCAATGCCACCTAATGGAGAGCCCGCACCTCGCAGCGATCCCGGCTGGGCTTTTCCAGCATCCCCGAGACTCCCAGAGCCGCGCCTGGGATGCTGGAATAACAACATTCCTCCGCAAAGGATGCGCAAATGTTTGGGCTGCCTCGCTGGATGCGGGAGCTCCAAAGGAGCGGCTCGCGGTGCCCAGAGTTTTGGAGTTTGGGGTTTGTGCGGGGTTTTGTGATCTCCGCGGAGAGATTTTCCTGTCAGGAGGAAAACGCTGGCCACGGTGCAGGGGGATGTGAAAACAACCCGGGATGCGCAAATCGCCCTCCCCGAGGCGTGGCCGGGGCACTGGAGCATCTTCCCCACGCGTGGGGACACCGAGAGCGGGGACAGGCTGAGGAGAAACCCGTCCTTGCCTCGTGTCGTGTCTGATTGCTGCAGCGCATCCAAACCCCTCTCCACATCCCCGGGAATGCTTCCACATCCCCTGGGCAGCACTGCAGACACGCAGGGCACCTATGCACACACGGAAATACAGGGCCCAGCCGCTTTAGGAGCAGCTTTTAGGGCTGACTCCCAAAGCAGGCCCTAATTTGAAGAGGGTTTGAGATTTCCCGTGGAAGGTGGTTGGAGTTTTCCAAGTGAAAAACACCCCTGGAATCAAGCAAGCAGCTGGGATTCCGCTGTGCCCTGTCCCCCTCGCAGCTGAACAAAGCCCCATTCTCTCTGACCCGAATATATTTTCTTTACACCGTTCCCGGGATTTCCCTCTGGTTTATTTCTGTAGGGTTGGATCCAAAGCTCCCCGCTAATTTAGGGAGTTTGGGGTAAGGCCCTGCACGTCTGCAGCTCCGGACCTGCTGCAGCCAGGGCTGGATCTCTGCTGGTTTGAATGATAAATATCGGCCAACAAAAAAACAGTTTAGAAAAGGGGCTTGGAGGGGGGCAAAAGACAATAATTTTCCATAAATCTTGCTCTGCTTATGCCAAGCTTTGCACCCCGTCACCACCAATTTTAAGCATATTCTGGTGTGGCAAGATTAGGAGTAAAAACTAACTATGAGAAAGACACAGATTTAAGATTTACAGGTTTTTAACTGCACAGTTCTTGTAGAGTTTTTACACCTTAAGCAGCGGGATTAAAGAGAGTAGAGCTGGGAATAAAATGCAAAGGGAGATTTGCTGCTTTCAAAAAAAATTTTTTTTTGAAATAATAGTAAACCAAGTTCAGACAAACCCCACAACAGAAAACCCGAAGCAAATAAAGGCGAGTGGAACAGATTTCCGTGTTTACTTTTCTTTCTGCAGTTGGATCCCTTGTCGTAGCCACAAGAACTGCAAGCATAGGGTACGGAATGGGAAAGAAAAGACAGGAAAAAGAAAGAATTAAAAAAAAAAAAAGAATTTAAGGAGAAGGAAGCAAACCCAAGAGCTCGGAGCAGCAGCCGCTTCTCCTGCTCAGGCTCCGTCCCTGGATCAGCGGAGCTCTGCGAGGAGCTGCGAGCGGGGAAGGGGACGCTGCGAACCTCGGGCTCGCAGGGGAGGAAGAGGAAGAGGAGGAGGGTTTGGGGACGGGGAAAGGGAAGAGAAAAAGTCCAGTACATACAGCTCGATGCGTCCACCAGCCCCCAGCCTCCTCTTCTCTCTCTCTCTCTCCCTCTTAAGTCAAAAAGGAAATGCGCCTCTTTTTTTTTTTTTTCTTCTTTTTTTTTTTTTTTTTTTTTTTTTTTCAGAACCAGAAAACGAACCGTCAGGAAGTTGGCAAAACCTCTGACTAAACAATCAATGGAGGAAATGCAACAGATTCGCTTTGGGCGGCGGGGGAGCGAGGGCGGGCGCGCAGGACGGAGGCGCGCAGGCAGCGCGGGGAGCTGCGCACCGCTCCCGGGGCTCCCATCCGCAATTCCCTCACATCCCTGAATTTTTTTACCCCACGGACACCCATTCTCTGCGGCCAGGTACGCGGGGGCAGGGACGGGCTCCTGTGTCCCCCATCCCCGGCAGAAATCGGCACGTCTGTCCGCAAAAGGAGCTCCCTGTGAGGGGTGCTCACATCGAATTCCCAGGAATTATCCTCCCTTCCCACGGGCTGGGGTAAGCAGGATTGAGAAATGAGCCAGTTCCGTGTTGGTGTTTCTGCTACAAGTGCAGTTTGTTCACGGAAGGTAGCAGGGAGAGGTTTGAGAAGAGTTTGTTCTTTTTATATATATAATTTTTTTTTCTTAATTTTTCTACCATTCACCCGTTCCTCCCTCATCCCGGAATTTCGGTCTCTGCCTGCCGGTACGGAGCGAGCCGCTCACATCCCCCTCCGAGTTTTCCTTAGGTAAAACAAACAAATAGATGGATCCTTGGAAGTTCCGCGGAGCTGCGCGGAGCGGGGCTGCCCTGTCCTGCCCCGCGGAGAGCTGAGTATCTCCTTTAGGCTCCCGTTCGGGTGAAAATCACCCCCTAAACCCTCTCAAGGGGTTTTCTCCCAGGCGGGGGCTCCCCCAGGTGCTGCTGAAGGCGGCCGGGGACCTCCCCTCTCCGCGGGTGCGGGGCTGGGAGCGGGGGAGCCGCGGGCGAGGGGAGCCGCCCTCCCCCAAAAATGCGGGACGCGCTCCGGGGTCACCGCTAAAAGCAACACAAGTCCGTATTTTTTAATAAAGAGCGTTCTCGGGCGAGCTGGCCGCCTTCCACCCGCCCCACGGATGAGCTGGCTCTGTAAACACTGCAGAGAAGATTAAGGCTGCTGTTCTAAGCTCACAGCGAGAGCTCTCGCTGCTGCTGATCTGGGCGCTCCCCAAGAGCCCTTCGGTTTTAGGGGTGACAACAGCCCCCAGCGCGGTCCCTCTCCATCACCAGCCCGGCGCTCTGAGTCTCCCCCCAGTTCCTCTCCATCATCATCTCTCCCCTCCCTGCGAGTCACCGATGCTTTGGGTGTTCCTCCACTCTCCCTCCATCACAATCTCTCCCCTATCGGGGGTTCTGGTGTCCCCCCAGTCCCTCTCCCTCCCCATCTCTCCCTTCCCGGGGTTCTGGTGTCCCCCCAGTCCCTCTCCCTTCCCATCTCTCCCATGCCTGGGCGTTACACAGACTCTGGGTGTCCTCGCAGCGGCTTCAAAAATCCCCCTAATTTTAAATTATATATTTTTATTATTACTATCATGATGATAGCTTTAATTTGGCGGCCGAGAAGAGCTGGGAACCAATGTCAGAGCGAGCTGCCAGCGTGGTTTTCCAGCAGCCCGTGGTTTTCCAGCGCCTTTCCCACCTCCCGCATCCCGGGACAGGGACAACCTGCGCCGGCTGCGAGCGGGAGCGCTGGTCGGCTTTTAGAGAAACTCTGGCAATCGAAAAGAAGGAGGAAAACTGGCAACGGCAAGGTCATTTGCCCAGGAATTCCATAAACGCACCAATCCCGAGGGAAGAGGAGCTCCAGGACGGGCCGGGATTGGGATTGCGAGAGGGAGATGCTTGGTTTTGTTCTTTTGCCAAAACAGCACCAGGCTGGGGAGGGGGAATGAGGAGCAAATCAGGGATAAAAGAGTGGAGGCAGAGCTGAGTGTCCCGGCCCGGGGAGAGCCCAGAGGAGCCCGCTCCGCCCTCCATCCCTCCATCCCTCACTGCCGCCCGCCTGCGCCCCCAGCTCAGCCCAGAGAGGGCATGGAGCTGGAGAGGAGGAGAAGAAATACCAACAGTCGTGGAAAAAAAAGCCCCAAGAACAACCAAGAATAAAAAAAAAATTAAAATAATTTTTTAAAAAATTTAAAAAACAATTAAAAAGGGGTGGAGGGAAAGAAAAGGGAAATTAGGAAAAATAAAAACAAAAAAAGGGAAAAGAAATGTATTTTGAAAAGATAATAGAAGGAAAACGAGGAGAGGAGAGGAGAGGAGAGAAGAGAAGAGAAGAGAAGAGAAGAGAAGAGAAGATTAAAAAGGAAAAGAAAATAAGACAAAGTAAATAAAAAAAAGAAGAAAAAACGGCTCAGCTTCCCCCGCCCCACTCCCAACAAGACCTTTACACAGTAAAATATTTCCTTGGATAAGGATTTTCCTCTGTATATTTTTCGCCTCTGGATCCCTTTTGGTAAATCCCTGTAAAGCACGACAGGTTTGGGATTTTCCCCCCGTTTGCCCTTGCCCAGCACCACTGGCATGAGCTCGCCTGGGGATGCTGGTTTGACTCGCTTTGCCCACAATCCCTCTGACAGCGGCACCGGGGCCTTTGAAAAAGACATAAAATCGGAATAAAGCAGCAAATCGGAGTTAGAGCGCCCGGAAAAGTGTCAGACAAAACACGCTGGAGCCAGAATGGGCTTCACCTTTATGAGATGCTACAAATTGCTGCTATGGACACTTTGGAGATCTCTGAAATCCCTTCATTAGCTGCTTGATGCATTTGACATCCGAGCTCATTGTACCCCCGAGGCGTCCAAAAGCTTGGAAATCGAGTTTTATTAACCTAATAAAACGCACGCAAAATTCGGGGGAAAACTCAAGAATCGAGAAAACCTAAATAAATCCTCTGACTAGGTGCTGTAGGTTTCTCAAGGCTGTTTGAAATGGGGAGGAAACAAACTATTTACTTGTCAAAATTGGATTTTTTTTCAGGCGATTATTTCTGTAGCGGGATTTCTTTATAAAAGAAACCGAGCATTCATTTGCGCTTAAAACTGACAGGCTGCCTTCGTTTCCATCCTCATGCTGTATTTTCCCTCTTCTTTGATCCCCGCATTATGCAATAACTCAGTCATTTTTTTAAGAACAAAGGGGAAATATAATGAGAAACATTACAGCGGCAGCGCGCGTTTGCTGCCCGCTAGCAGAGCCCTTTGCGTGTAATATATATTTTATTTCCAGCCAAAACTAACGATCCCAACGTCCTACATGATGGGAAGGGACGCGTTTACAATGTGGCCATTGTGCGGCGGCATGAGGAGGTTTTTCTGTGCCTTAAACATCACCTGGGAGGAGGTCCCGGAGCCGCTGCCCACCCTGGGCAGGCAGCATCCCTCCTCCTGCAGCGGACACGGCGCAGAGGCTTTCCCCTCCTTTTCTTCTCTGTAAAAGGACAAAAAGAGCAAAAAACATAATAATAAAAATCACCTTCGCGATCGCTTTGACCCAGCAATCCAAACAAACTCCCAAACGCGGCTGAAATTCAGCTGAAGCCGAGGGTGATTTTAATGCCTGGGGCAAACTTTGCTCGCTTAGAGCAGCGTCTGGCGTGAGCAAAACACCTTTTTTTTCTTTTTTTTTCTTTTTTTTTTTTTTCCTAGCAGGTCCCCGTAAATCGCTTTTTTTAAAACCAAAAACTCCTGTTGGGGGCCGTTTGGGGCATGGCTGTAAAATCGGGCTACCTGGCCCAGATAAGCGGGGCTGTTGTCACCGAGGCACGAGTGGCACCGAGGCGGTGGCATTAGCAGTTGGTAAATAAGTGTGCAGGCTGTAAAGTGAAGTTGTATCCTTTAGATAAAGGCTTATCTACACAGCCATTAAACCCACACTCACCTCCTTAGCATGCGGTGTCAACTCCCAGAGGGAAATATTTATTTAGTCCCTTTTGGAACGGGAGGATTTAATCCTAACTTGATGTGCCAGGAGAAACCCCTTCCTTGTTTTTGTTTGGTGGGTTGTAATCCTGTGGATTAAAATCCTTAAAATCTTGCTGTTTGCCCACAAAACAAATAAAAGATAATCTGGGTGGAGTGACTGAGGTCTTAACGTACATTTTTAATACACCTGGGTGTCTTTTCTGTCATTTCCTCTTAGTGAAGTTTATCTTTTCATCATGTACACAGGCTGTCCATAAAAGCAAGTTTATATATACATATTTAAAAAAAAAAGGAAATTAAGAGCCAATCCTTCCAACAGTCACTGAGGCTGGAGCATGCTGAGTCAGGGCTGTGTGGTCCAGCTAAATTCAGATTAAAGTCAGCAGCAAGTCCCCCTTGGATCTGAGTGTCACCAGGATCAGGCCCTGGAGATGGTCACAGCAAGGAAGGAGCTGGGAGAGCCCCTCAGAAGTGGAACTGCCTGTCTAATCCATGGATAACTGCATGGATTCAGTGGAATTGACAAAAACTGATGATCCTGGATCCTCAGTTTTTCTCCTTAGTAGAGTTTTATCAACTTAAGGATGCTCAAGTGGACTGCAGGACAGTAGAGAGCACAAATACCAGATTTGAACAAAAGTAATAACAGCAGAAAAAAACCCCAAATCCACGAGGTAACTAGAAAAATATTCTGCTGTTTTACCTAATTATTTTCTAGTTTTGAAGTCTAATATGAAAACCAACAACATTTGTTTTCATTTTTATAGGCGAGGAAAGTGAGGCACCAGAGAAGAAAAAAAAAAAGAGGATTATTCAAGGTGCAACTTCGGTGACAGAGTGCAGGATTATTTATTTATTTGCACATCTTTATTTACATCCCTGCCTGCTGTGTTTAGACCAAAGCCACGCTGACTTGCAGGTAAATCTCTGCTTCTTGCTGAAATGGATGGAAATTTTAGCCCTGCTTTCAAAGGGAAGGCTGAGCAGCCTGGTAAAGGATCACTTGTTATTGATCCTTTCTGAACAACTCTCTGTGTTTTGTTTTATTTAACATAAGCAAAGGTCCCGGCCCCATCTGGAGCCTGGCCTTTGGAGTGGGGGGGCTGGAGAAAAATGGGAACTTTGGTGCAGGAGGAAGGAAAATAATCACTCTTCCAAGCTGCATTTTCAAACAGACACTGCTGCAATGCGAGCCTTTCTCTCCACTGAAACTGCACGTTTTTAGAAGGGTGCACTTTTGGACCTGTCCATAAAACATGACAATTCTGCTGGCAGCAGAAGGCAGGGCAGCAGCAGAGTGAATTATTAAAGCCAAGCCATAACTTTCCATGACATGGCACAGACAGGACTCAGGGCTCAGGCAGGAGCAGGAACCTTACATGCCTGAACTTAATCACACTGTAATGGAGCCACATTACAAGTAGGTTTTTCTCTGCAGCTGTCATCTCTGAGGATAAAGCTGTGGATATTATTTCCCTATCCCCCTATCCCCATGATGAAACCAAAATAAAGAACCCCAGAAAACAGGGAAAAAATTACCACTGAGTTAAGCGAGAAAGAGATGATAAAAGATACTGCTCTTGATAAAACAAAAATATTCCATTGTGGTTGTTTCTGGCCAGTTGCTGTGGGGTGTTTGCAGCCTGCCCTGCTGCAATCCCACTGGTTTGGGGGCAGGAATCTCCTCAGCTTCCTCAGCAGATCCGTGCCAGGCAGAACTGCAGCACCCGGGCATCCTCCTGCCGCACGTGGCGCCGAGATTTGGGGGCACCGAGTTCTGCAGGTGACATTTTTCAGGTCAAACCCTCCAAGGTGTCCCCTGGGAGCTCTGGGAACTGAGGTGCCAAAGGAGATGGGTGGAGTGTGGGGCTGCTCCCCCCGTGCCCACATTTCCCCCCACCATGGGGTCCCATCTGTTATCTCCCCGTGTTTATTTAACACTCCCAGGGCCGTAAGCCGGGAGATTGAGCAGTAAAATTGAACTACAAGAGGGTTTTCTTGCCCAAAATGAGCAGTAAAATTGAACTACAAGAGGGTTTTCTTGCCCAAAATGGCATTCCCGAGGGTCTCTGACAGCTCCCATAAAAACCTCTCCCTTTCTGGTCCTCTCCTGCGTTTGGTCTTGGCAAAGGTGCCAAAAAGGAACGAATGGGCCAATAATTGGTTTATTGCCTTCCCAATTTGGGATCTGCAACACCCCCGAGGACGCCCTGCCGTGTTTGATCGTGTTAGCCCCCGTTCTCCCACAGAAAGGTCCATTCCAGATAATTCTGTGCTTTCAAAACAAAAAAAGTGTAAAAAAATTAAGGTAAGGCATCAATTTTGCTGCCACTCTGTATTTCAGGCAGATTTGTTGAGTGCAGCACAAGCCAGCTGGAATTCCAAAGGCTCCAGGTGATTTTATATATATATATACATATATATATATATATATATATATATATAAAATATATATATAAATATATAATAATTACATTATAATATAATATAATATAGAGAATATATTTCTATATTTTATATATTATAAAATATATAATAATTAGATATATTATATATTATACATAATATATTACGTATATTGCATTATATTATATGTTATATATTATATGCTACATATTACATCTTACATAAAATACGAAATACTAAATATTAATTATTACTAATTATTATTAATTAATAATATATAATAATTAATTATTATTAATTATCATTAATTATTATTAATTAATTAGTATAGAAATATATATTTATAAAGTATATAAATATATATAAAAATATATCTATATTTTATCCCTTGAGTTGTAAGAAAAACGCTCAAAACTAAAACAAAACTGAATTTTAGAAGTCCAGAGATCTTCCTAAGGAATGAGAGGGGAGAAGAAATGGGCAAAGAGAAGGAGCAGTAATTCTGGCTCCCATAAACGCCCATCTCGGAATTCACTGAACTAGGAACTACTGACCCTTTTCTGACCATCATTAGGACAAATTTCCCGGCTGATCCGCTCCTTTTCTCCTCTCTCAGGTGTAGTCTGACCTGGGGCTGGGCTCGGAGCAGCATCCAGCCGGGAGCAGGGGGCTCTGCTCCACCTGCCTCACCCAGAGGCTGCAGCCTGCTCCGAGCTGGACCCTCTAGTGGACTCCCGGAGCATTTTCCTTTGGAAAAAAAAAATCGGGAAAATACCTTTAAATGCAACTTCCATCTCCGCCAAGCACATTGGTGAGCAGCTCCACGACACCTCCCCACGTTTATTTAAAAGAAGTTTAAAAAACAAGACGTAAAACAGAAGCCTTCTGGAGCAAACAACTTTTTCCCTCGTGAGAAAAAGCTGAATATTTTAAAAAATATTTTTCATTTTCCAGGCATGAAAGGACAGAGAGAATTCCAGCCTAAAGCAAAGACTAAAGAAGAGCTAATTAATTTTGATTATGTTTTATAACTGTATGGATCTTATTAAAAGTAATCTTCCTAAAACAATTCCCAGGCTGAGCACTCATTTTGTGGGGGGAATATAAAATGAGAAAATAGCCTTGTGAACAGGACCAGTTTCATTATTCAAGGGTATGAAATTTAAACAATCAATGAAAAAAAGAGGGGGAAAACATCTCCAATTTGCTTCCTACCATCCTCACTCTGAATTTTAAGCCCGTCACAGTTACAAAACAAGTATATAAAGTTACAAGAACTCTGCCCAGATTGAAAGCAATGATAGTGACAGCACTTGCTTAGAAAAAGGAAATCCAGCATTGAGGGAAATGTTTATATTATGCCTCAGAATTTCAAACAACTGTTTTTTTATCCTGAATAGCTGTGGATTTTTCTTTCTTTTCAACAGAGTAAATGACACATCTGAGAGGTGTGGAGAAGAGCAGTCCAGAGCTGAGAGTTTAATGATGTGCAGTGGGGAGAAGGAAAGAGGAAAATAGCAATAATTTATATCCAAATTAAAAAAAAAAACAACTATCAAGCAACACCACAAACCAGTGTTATTACTTCTCTACTGATCCCAAAACCAAAAAAAAAAAAAAAAAAAAAAAAAAAAAAAAAAAGAAAGGAAAAAAAGCTGTAAATGCCTTATCCTAGGGATATATCCATGTAGCTCTGCTCCACAGCTGTTCCTAAGTGGTGACAGCTCAAGAAAAGGTCACTGCTGAATTACTCTGGGTCAGGAAGACCCAAGAAGATCCAAATCAGATTCAGACACTGATATGGTTTTCCAGGCTCTTTGCAAGTCCCAAGATCAGCCTGGGACCATGTGCTGGGATGGGATTTTTAGATTTTTTAGATATTTTTTAGATTTTTTTCCCCCTTTTATTTTTTGCATTTTAATGTCAGGTTTTTTCTCACCAAATGCCATGTGATGGGCACACTGTCCATGGTACCACCCACGGGGCTGCCACAACGCCCTGGCACCACAGCCAGGCAGCACAGATCACCAATCCCACCTCCCAGCCCACCCAAATATCACTTTTAGTTTTACTGGGCACCTGTGGGAGGTGTCCCACCAAGAGCCAGTGTGGCACAGCGGCCAAGAGCTGAAAACCCAACTCTCCTCCTCCAAAGCTCTTTGTTGTCAGGAAGGGAGGAGGCAAGGCATGGAATCCCAGAGGAATTTGGGTTGGAAAAGGTCTCTCAGGTCCAACCATTCCTCCTGCACTGCCACGGCCACCACTGCCCCACGTCCCCACCTGCGACACCTTCACAACATTCAGAACCCTCCACCACTGCCCTGGGCAGTCTGTTCCAATGCTCAATAACCCTTTCTGAGAGGAAATTCTCTTATATCCATCCTGCCCCTCCCCTGACTCACCCTGAGGTTGTTCCCTCTCCTCCTGTTGTTCCCTGGAGCAGAGCATGACCCCCTGGCTGTCCCCTCCTGTCAGGAGTTGTTCAGAGCCACAAGGTTCTCCCTGAGCCTCCTTTTCTCCAGGCTGAGCCCCTTCCCAGCTCCCTCAGCCTCTCCTGGTGCTCCAGCCCTTTCCCAGCTCCATTCCCTTTCAGAGGCAGCTTCTCCTCTTTCCCAGCTCCTCACCACTCAAGGGAAGCTCTCAGAACAGCTGGATGCACCAAGCTTGGAAGCTGCAGGACAGCAGCAGCAGAAACAATCTCATTATAACCCTGCTGCAGGACAGCAGCAGCAGAAACAATCACATCATAACCCTGCTTTCACCTTCTGTCTGCACAGGTCTCCAGGCCAGAGCAGCTCTCCTTCTGCAGGCTTTTGGCATTAAACATTCCCACTCATTCCACGCTTTGTTTGTTTAGTTGTAGGAGGAGAAAACCAGCGTTCTTCCTCATTATCAGAGGAGAAGGAACAGTGGAAGGAAATGAGGTCACAGAAACTGCCCTGCTGTTTGGAGAAGGGGTTCTGTTCCCTTCTGTTCCATAAGAAATTTCCACTGGAGAACAGAAGCATCCCAAGCAGCAGAGCTGCCTCCTTTGTTTCATCTCAGGCCCCCTTCCCAGCTCTCTGCCATGGATCCAATTACCCTTCCCTGGGAACAAGCTGTGGCTCTAAATTAAATCAAATGGTTTATTTGTCTGGGGCAGCTTTGCTCACAGACATCCAGGCTTTCTGGAGAAGCTGCTGCTGTTTGAAAGGACGTCTTGGCCACTGTCTCTTCTGTCAGGAAAAAGTCAGGCATGACTGAGTCAGGTGGGCATCCCTGTTTTGGGGCCTTTTTCTATCCATGCTCCCACCCAGGATGTGTTTCCTTTTCTTTATTGGTGCCATTTTCGCATCTCAGTTCCCAGTTTTGTGGAAATTAATTTTTTTTTTTTATGCCAGAGACATGCAAATCTTCAGGTACCCCAAAACATCTTCTTCCCAAAGTTTGATTTCTTCCAGGCTCTCATTATAACCCTGCTGCAGGACAGCAGCAGCAGAAACAATCACATCATAACCCTGCTTTCACCTTCTGTCTGCACAGGTCTCCAGGCCAGAGCAGCTCTCCTTCTGCAGGCTTTTGGCATTAAACATTCCCACTCATTCCACGCTTTGTTTGTTTAGTTGTAGGAGGAGAAAACCAGCGTTCTTCCTCATTATCAGAGGAGAAGGAACAGTGGAAGGAAATGAGGTCACAGAAACTGCCCTGCTGTTTGGAGAAGGGGTTCTGTTCCCTTCTGTTCCATAAGAAATTTCCACTGGAGAACAGAAGCATCCCAAGCAGCAGAGCTGCCTCCTTTGTTTCATCTCAGGCCCCCTTCCCAGCTCTCTGCCATGGATCCAATTACCCTTCCCTGGGAACAAGCTGTGGCTCTAAATTAAATCAAATGGTTTATTTGTCTGGGGCAGCTTTGCTCACAGACATCCAGGCTTTCTGGAGAAGCTGCTGCTGTTTGAAAGGACGTCTTGGCCACTGTCTCTTCTGTCAGGAAAAAGTCAGGCATGACTGAGTCAGGTGGGCATCCCTGTTTTGGGGCCTTTTTCTATCCATGCTCCCACCCAGGATGTGTTTCCTTTTCTTTATTGGTGCCATTTTCGCATCTCAGTTCCCAGTTTTGTGGAAATTAATTTTTTTTTTTTATGCCAGAGACATGCAAATCTTCAGGTACCCCAAAACATCTTCTTCCCAAAGTTTGATTTCTTCCAGGCCTCTTCAACCCTGTGAATTCAGCTGCATTTTTTTTTCTAGGCTGAAAGGAAGGAGAGAGTTTTCCCTTCATTTTGAGACTGAAATAAGCCCCTCAGTCCCTGTCCAGCCTTTCTCCAGCAAGGCCACCTCACTGGGGACATGCCACAAAACCACATCAGAACTTCATTTTGGGACTTTAAAACTTCCACCTTTTTCTATGTGTGCTCCATTTTTGATGGGAATTCACCCACAACACTCTTTGGTATTCAAGTGTTTGGGTTGTCTCCCTGTTTATAGTCTAGAATGGGGTTTATTATCTGTCTTTATATACATAAGTATATTTTAAAATACGAAAATATATATTTGGTCCTGAGGACACTGGAAGGAGCTCATCAGACCTTCCTAAAAAGAATTCATTAAGGAATGAGATGTAAGGAAGTAATGGAGGTTTCTGAGACTGTTATTGGAAATAAGGTACCAGAAAAGCATTGAGACCTACAGAATTCACATTTCTGAGGATTGTAGTGTTTCCCATAATCTGTTGTTGAAAAAAGCAAGTGCCACCAGGGCAGATGGAGAAAGAGGATCCAGAAAGAAAATTTTCATCCTTAAGGCAAACGTAAATTTGAAATAGAGATTACAGCCCCAAAGAATGTGCTCGAGGAGGTGATAACATACAGGGAAAATTAGCAGTACACAACATCCAGGTTTGCATTTATTCCAGAGATTTCCCCCATCCCAGTCCAGATTTCTGGAACTTGCAGCAGTGGGACCCCCTTCCCGAGGCAGGTCCGTGCCACAGCCCCCGCTCCACACACGATCCATTGTGCTGCTGGAAGCACGGGGAGATGGAGAATTAGAGACACATTTTGGGCACGGGCTCCTGCTTCTGTGTTGGGTTAATTAGTGGTTTGTTAGTATGTTAAGTGCTCTGCACATTGACCTCAGGCTGGTTGTCTCTAATAAACAAAAGCAGCTCTCCAGCACCAGGTAACCGCTGATTTCCCAGGGACTGTAACTCGGCTAACGAGCACTGCGGTACCCAGGCTCCCATCTGGCCAAAAAAGTGAGAAAATCCTTTTCTAGGAAATAAGAAAAAAGGCTATTAGAGTGATCTCAAGTCTAATTTAAAACCTGAAGTCTGGGGTAGTTTAAAACTTTCCTTGTTTCTTTTCAATAAACTCTGCCGAAGCTGAAGTGATTTTTTGGACCGTGGTCTGATGACGGCAAATTTTGTTTCTATGGTAAAGTCCATCAAGAAAGAATTCACCTCTTGTAGGAAACCCCATTTTGACCAGGAAATGCATTTTTGCCAATGTTAAGACCAGCTAGACAGGCTCTTGTCAGGAAGTAGAATAGGGCCAGGCTGAAAATCCAAGACATTTTCCCTTTCCTGTTAGGATGTCCTTGCATTGACAGGTTATAAAGCTGAAACACGCTCTGAAAAAAAACCTCAAAAACCAACAGCAATGCACAGAGATGGCTCTTGGGTGACCCAATGGCCTGCCTCTGATTTTTTTTCCATGGGATTTAGGAAGAATTGCAAAGGCTGCAAGCTTTTGCAAAAGAACTGCTGTAAGCTTCAAGCAAGGCTGGCTGCGTTGGCTGCCAGGAGTTTCGAGAGGATCCCTGGAAACACATTTGGTTTTAATCAGGCCCCTGCACTGTGGAACATCCTGTTTGTCTACACTTATTATTACTGACAAATTATCCTCCTCCAAATCTCAGGGAGCATTCACTTTATCCTCACATTAAACCTGATTGGAAACAGTAGGTTTAATTGGACTCAGCATGAGGCCCAGTCGTAAACTGCACCAGTTCCTTGTTTTATTGTGGCATTCCCTGGATGTGTGAAAATACCATATTTCATATACAGGGCCCAGCTTGCTACTGCCAGGGCTGTCACAGACAATGCACAGATGCCCTGGGCTACAGGAGCACCCTCTGCCCACTCCCAGCTGGGAAAAGTTGGCCGTTCCCAGCAATTTGTGTATAAAATACATCATTTCAGATCTGGCCCAAAATTCTGAGAGTTCTCCTCATCACTAACAGAGCCCCATGGTCTGCAGAACTCAGAGTCTTCTGTACTTCAGCTTTGGAGTTTGAGAGGGATGGAGGAGCCAGTGCAGGGTGTGGATCATCCTCTCACTGGTCTTGCTGGGAAATGTGAGCATCTTCTTCTTCCCCTTGTCAGCTGGAGTTCTTTCCTAGGAAAAGCCTGGGAAATCGGAGGGGTTAAAGGTGAATTCAGTTTGATACATTTAGAGCTTGGGCCAAGGGTTGATTATATGGGAAAAAGCTGAAATCTTTCAGCCATGAAGGAGCCCACCATAGTTGGACTGATGGTGATTGTAGGGTTACGCATTTGGCTGGTGCTCTGAGATCTTCCCAACATCTCTGATTTTCCCTGTCTGGGAGTGATCCTCCAGCAGCTGTGCCTCATCCAGATGTGCACTGCAGGGAAGTCCAGATGCTTCCAGATCAGAAAAAAATCCAGTGAGGTGTCAGGTAGTGGCAGTCTTGGAAAGGAGCTCGTGCCCGAGAGATTCTGGCAGGAGCTGAACTGTTGAACAACTTTTTTCCAATGTCCTGGGTGTGGAAAAGCATGAAACAGCACGATGTGCCTGGGGTGGAGGGGAAAAAACAAACCACCAGATGACAAACAGACAACTCAACCCCTTTGCTATTCATGTTTACACAATTTGGGATTGTTCATTAGGACCATAAAGTGTGCGACCTGCTGAAATTCATCTTTTCATGAGAGTATGGTCTCTCCCAAGTGGGTAAAATAGCATTCAAGGAATTACCTTGGCATAAATATTATTTTAAACTCAACTTAAATGGCATTTACATTTGTCATGCCTATAAATACCTTTTTCTGGAAGAAAAATCAAAATTTCTGCATTTCACCAATTTTGGAACCTGTGTTTTGCAAAAACAGCCTTTTGGAAATGATAAAAACCTCACACAGGTTAATAAAGGCTCCTTACCAGAAAAACAAGCAGATAAACAAAAAGCAGACCACAGATAGAAAAAGAATTGCAAAAGTAATAAACATCTGCAGGATGGAGATCTGTTCCAAACTGTGATAGATCACAAATCTCAGATCTTCCTTCTAAATTGTCTGACAAAATCTGTGCCTCATGTTGTCTGGCAAACAGCATCACTGTGATGCTCCTTCCAGTGACACAAAATCTTCCACTCATCACAAAATATTAATCACCTTTGCCCTGTAGATTGCAGCTTAATCACCTTCTCATTGCTTTTTTTGGAGACCTGGATTGTGATTTTTTAAGGGAGCTTTTAAAGATGTCAGAGCAGAAGGGTTTCTTGTAGGTCTCTGTGAGGCTGGGCCCATCCAAAATCAATGTCCTTCTGCTCTGGTGTTAAGTATCAGCCTGGTGAAGGTAGAAGCAGCTGTGTCTTCCTCGGGTGGTAAAACCTCTGTGCTTTTCTGGAAGCATCATGGGAGTAGCTCTGGAACTCCCTGCTGTCCCTCAGATCTTCCTCTGGTGCAGAAAAATGCACAGCCAGGTTCACCCGCACTCATCCTACCAAAGCAAGGCAAACAAACCCAAAATTTAGTGCTTTTTACCCCTCTTCTTCTCATGACCTGGAGCATGAGTTTCTCCTGTGCATTTTTGGGTGTGGTCTTCTTGGTTCACCTCATTTTCTTCACCTTAATTGAGGCACTCACGTGACTTGTGCTA